TATTCAGCTAAGTGCCTACCGTGACGCTAATCGGGTTGGCTGTCCACTGGATCGCAGGTCCACTAATGGTTTTTGTGTGTTTCTTGGGCCCAATCCTATCTCCTGGTGTGCCAGGAAGCAACCCATAGTTGCCCACTCATCCACAAAAGCTGAATACCATTGCCTTGCTCACACTGCTGTGGAAATCTCCTGGTTGTGCTCCCTATTCAAAGAACTTCATATTCCCATTCTCCCCACTCCGGTCGTCTGGTGTGACAACATGTCARCTATTGCATTCGCCTCAAATCCAGTTTTTCATGCTTGCTCGATACACATCGAAGTTGACTACCACTTCGTCCGAGAGCAAGTCGTTCGCAATTTTTTGGATGTCCGTCACGTACCATCTAATGCTCAACTAGCAGATCTCTTCACCAAAAGCTTGCTAGCTACTTGTCTCCTTCATCTTCTTCGCAAGCTACACGTCTATGAACCCCCGTCTAGCTTGAGGGGGGATGATAGTGAGCCCACTCATCAGGCCCATGCATCGACCCATACACCAACTAACCCAGATAAACCTCATCCATACGCTAGCTTACCCAGATAAACCTCATCCATACACCAACTTACCCAGATAAACCTCATCCATTGTAACTGATCAAGATAAACCAAACCTCTAACAGATCTGATATCTATTTGTATATATCCTTGTACAGATAATCCTATCACTAAACAACTATAAATACTATACTAGCAGGGATCCGTGCGATGCACAGGAAAATCTGAAAGATTTAATAATTTTATTTTTCATTTAATGTTGTTATAAAAATAATTATTGTTAATTGAATATGAACAAATATTTTTTAATAAATTTAGTTTTATTAATAATTTGTAGTAATTTTAATAATTTTTAATCTTTTTATTATTTTTAAATGAAATTTTGATTAACTTTAAATAAATAAAAATAATTATAAAATCTAACATTTTTATTAATTCCACTAATAATTAACAATTATATAGGAATGACAACGGGGTGGGTTTAGGGCAGGGCACCCCATCCCTTTTCCTGCCCCATAGTCAAGACACTTTACCCCATCCCCGCCCTGTCCCCAGTGTCACGCGGGTTCAGGGCAAGGTAACCACTCCTCAATGTCGGGCGAGTTTAGCAGCAAGGCACCCCACTCCTCATCAAGGATGGAGAATCCTTGAATTTCCTTGCCCCACCCCTAGTATTGGGCGGGTTCAAGTTGAGATGTAAATTGGGTTGTGCTGGGTCGACACGACACGACCTGCATGTGCCCCGCACAAAGTGCGAGTCATGCCATGCTGGCCCACGAGGCATCTCGAGCCATGCCTCCCTCCTCTAGGATAATTTGGGGGTCGGTTTGGCACGACCCACGGCCCAAGTCCATAGGGACCTATGCCGTGACGTGGGTTGAGCTAGTCCATGGGTTGAGCCTTGGGCGAAGCCATACCGTACACCAAGCCAAGCTCAAGGCAAGGCACCTGCTCCCCGTCCAAGGTTTTTAAAATTGGACCGGATAAGGAACCGTTCTGGGGTTGAACGGTCCAACTGTTTGGTCCGAACGGATGACCCGCTTTGACAAAAAAAATTAGAAAAACAAGAAAATGACAAAAAATGTTATCTAGGTTTACGGTTCGACCGCCCAGGTCAACAGTTCGCTAACCAAATAAATAGTTTTTGGACAAAAAGTGGTTTTGAGGTGAAACATTGTCTGGTTCCCAATTTTTTCGCTCTAACCATCTGGTTTGATCTAGTTTTGAAAATACTGTCCCCGTCAACCCAATATTCAATTTGATGATAGAAATGATCAAAATGATATATTGAGTATCAACTACATGGTAAATTTCTATTATTGTTAATTGAAAGATTTAATAAATTTCCATTCAGTCGAACCTCAATCCCCATCCCCTA